TTCGATGTCGATAACAAGACTAGCTCTAGGTATAGTTCGACGAACAGGCAGGAAGAGTCGTTCATCTAAATGTTTCAAACTGGGAGATTCTAGTATTATACGTAAACGCGCGCTGAAAGTTTCCTATCCATTGCGATTGTGGGATCGTTCCGTTTTTCGTCCGTCAAGGACATTCTCGTTATAGTTGTCACACACACTTGTTCACACACCACGGTCGTTTTTCCAACGCGGGCCGATCGATTTCGAGATCGTTTACGTTACGAAGTATTATTATCAACGTTGAAGCGTTTCATACGAAACATCGATTTCTCAATTGGCGCAAGCCAATTTTTGTCCGGGATGACGCACTTAGACGGGATTCTTCATTCGCATCGACGATTGATCAACGTTAATTGATTATTGATCAATCGTGACGATCATTTCTGAGTATCTCGAATTAAGTATCCGGGTATCCTGACATCTCTGATATGTTGCGACTTGTCGAAAGATTTGCCTTCTATTTTCTCCTTGTCTCGGTCTCGCATGTTTCTAGAGAATCATTGCTGAAACTACGAGTAAGCGTAGCTGTATAGTAGCGATTCAACCAGAGAACATTACTGTGCAATACGTAATCGAATTCGAGGAATTTGTGTTGCTCGTCAAATTCTACATTTTCTCCTTTTTTTTTGTTATATTTAGACTAACTATTGTGGTGGCATTTCGTCGAAACTCATTGAGAAGGCCATATTCATAAGTGACTTTGATTGAACTGTAAAATTATTTTTATATTCGTGAGCGAGATCAGAGAATGATCGATATTAGAATTGTTAGATAGAACAATAGACGAATTATTCTCGCTGAGAGCTTTAATTGCATTTGGGAATACAGATGTCGAAAGATATAAAAGGGATATTATATTTATTGTTTATAAATTATTTCGTCTCTACACATAAAATAAAAATTCTCGTCCTGAGGAAAAGAGGGTGAGAGGGACACTGGCGGCCGTTGAATCGGTTAAACTTCTCCTCTCTCGAGCGGAAGAAGAACAACGTCGATTTTTCGTTGACGAAACGTTCCTCGTTTTCCATCGTGTAATCAGGATCATACGTGTCGCTTGCATTTTTCTCTTATAGCGAGTGCCTCGATGCGTCCGAGTGCACGTCGAAGCGCAGCTCGACACGTCGCGCGTACAAGAAACCGGTTTTGGATGCGTGTGCGTGCGCGCGATCACGCGATCGGCACGTGTACATATAAGATTTACGAAGTAATGTAACTCCTTAGTGGTCTAACTCGAATCATACAAAAAGCGGTCCGGCACGCACGATGCTTTCTTCCGTGTTTTAGGATGACCGAGCGGCCGAGCGTAGAAACGTTCATTGCGCGTACACTCGCTGTTCTTCGGGTCTAAGAAAAATTCGATTTTTCCCGCTTGAAACTAAATAAACTATCTTCGATAATTGTTAACCGTAAGCTCGTTATTAGGTAGCGTCTCTCGAAAGTTGAGTCTAGCTTTTTTCGAATCGACGGGCACTAAAGTACGCCATACGTCCTTTCATTGTAACGATCGCTCACATAGACGGAACGTATCGTTTTTTACACTTTCCGCCGCTTTAAAAGCAGACATTACACCGGTAAGAGATAATAGTTATTATCATCATCATTATTATTATTATTATTAATTATCAGCGATAATTCCTGCGATACTCTTTGCGCCTCTCTCTCTCTCTCCTTTCCTCTCTTTCTTTCTTTCTTTCTCTCAGCGCGCCTATATTACGAAATGACGCGATATCGTCACACTTTCGAGATTACTTTTTAAATCGTACATCATAAAGAGAGGGGCGACATAACAAGGTCTATGAAGAGCAATACGAAAACATCTGTAAAATATGACGAAATTAGCGACCACTCCATTCGAAATGTTTGATTTTCCGTTGTGTGAAATGACGGAATTACATTGATAGATGTCGAGATTTTCCGTTGTGTGAAATGACGGAATTACATTGATAGATGTCGAGATTTTACTTTAATAGATTCTACCTCTGTATTTCGTTTATCAACACACGAGTGTCTGCAATCAAAAAACTGTTCCACTGTGTAGACTCTGATCCGTTATTAATAATTACTACTCAACGTAGCCTGCGATTTGTTACAGTTGTTTTCCTCTTGTTTCGTGTTTGACGTGCGCGCGCGATGATGGAGTGGTTTCTGAAGAATCGACTGAGCTCTCCTGTGATACGCAGATGTCACCATATAATTTCATAATAAACGTTTGTATTGAAACATATATATATACATATTATATATATATATATATATATATATTTATGTATATACACGGTGGGTCATTTTACGGGACCCACCCAAATTTCTCTATAGGTAAGCCAAATATAGAAAAATAGTTAAGATAAAACTTGTTCAGGACAATGGGGGTCATCTTTCTCAATAAATGAATTTGACCTTGAGGTCAAATTTCAAGGTTATTTGGAGGTCATAGTGATTTTTTTAAATGGGACCGCATACTTTTGACACCGGATTCGAAGAAAGCGGGAAATTTTACGTCAGAAATGATATTTTTAAATTTTTTATTTTGACCTTTAGAAGGTCAAATCAAGGTTTTAAAAACGCTCAGAAGCTGTTTAAATGCGATTATCTTTTAGCATTACCCAGAAACAACGACGTGGGCGTAGTAAGTTCTGTTTCCTTTGGGGTGCTTGATTATCGTGAGTCCCCTTGCCTCACGGTAAACAAGCACCCCAAACGTGAGAGGCAAGGGGACTCACGATAATCAAGCACCCCAAAGGAAACAGAACTTACTACATCCACGTCATTGTTTCTGGATAATGCTAAAAATAAGATAATCGCATTTAAACAAACAGCTTCTGATCGCTTTTAAAACCTTGATTTGACCTTCTAAAGGTCAAAATAAAAAATTTAAAAATATTTCTGACGTAAAATTTCCCGCTCTTTTCGAATCCGGTGTCAAAAGTAGGCGGTCCCATTTAAAAAAATCACTATGACCTCCAAATGACCTTGAAATTTGACCTCAAGGTCAAATTCATTTATTGAGAAAGATGATCCCCATTGTCCTGAACAAGTTTTGTCTTAACTATTTTTCTATATCTGGCTTACCTTTGGAGAAATCTGGATGGGTTCCGTAAAATGGCCCACCGTGTATATATATTATATTGTATATATCGTAATCGCGTTCCCGACTTTCTTCCCGATCGACCCCGGTAACGACGACGACGACGGTGGTGGAGAAGATTCAAAGAATAGAAGAAGTGTGCCGAATGCACACACTCACTCCCATTAAATACTTGTTCTTCTACTTTTTCCCGTACGAATTACGCGAGGGCGATTTTATCATGCGTATGCTATCTCATGACGCGTGTGTTTATACATGTATGTTGTTTACAGATGACAACTCATGGCAAAGATATCACTTGACATTTGGTACGCTGAGAGAAAGAAGGAAACGTATCTGGCAATCGAAATAGAGAGTCACAGTCGACTTTTCCATCGCGAATCGAAAGCGATATTGCATATATGTGCTATTAGTTAAGTAGAACTACGATACACGAAAAAGAAATGAAATGTATTTTTGCTAACAGGTCATATTTCCCTGAACTTTTCGAGTTGTAGCTGTAATTTTCAAGGTAAAACGGAACTTCTTCGTCGATAACGATTGCTGGTCGCAAATAGTACTACTTGTAAACTATCGTGTTGCAATAATATATGTATATCGCGAGGTCATATCGCTGGCAAATATCGTCCACGTTATCAACTGCTGACAATTTTAATCTTTACATGAATGAATTCATTCGGACGGAGCTGTCTACGGGCAACAAACTTCGCTATCGGGGAGCTTGTGTAAAATTACGCCGCAGTTCTCTCGAGAAGAGTCTTCGTCGAATTCGTTCCTTCTTTTCTCAGCAGCCCACCGTCTCTGTCTTAATTTTAAAGCAGAAAAACTCAGAGGGCTTCAGTCGAAGTGGGAGATTTATTTCAGCTTCGTCTTAAGAGACCTTGGTGGAGAGCGCAGAATGTGAGATTCAGCTCTCCGCCATCATAACCCTCACTTTCCTCCTCCCACCGAGTTGTTCGCGTCTTATCGACAATCCGCGATTACGACGACAGAACAGACAGGTCGGCTGATGTCGGCTGTTTAGAGGCGAGACATAGCAACGTCGGCAACGGTGTTAGTAGCGACCAGTACATACGTACGCTTAATCGACGGAATTGATTTATAAAGAGTCTATAAAGTCTAACATCGTGTGTACGGGGCTCAGAGCCGTGTAATAAATAAAGAGAAGAGGCAGAAGAAGAAGGTGATGAGACGATGATGCATGCAACTGTTGCCCGCGGCTACAACGCAATTACGTACACGAGTAACTCTTATACATAGTATAAATAACGAGAAATAAATTAATAATGCGAAACACACACACACACATGTTGCGCGATGCATAGCGTGATTATGTAAACCTGTTGACATGTAATGTCCATGTTCTAATAAAGATTTAGAATATTTTCTATAAACGGTTGTGTCGCGCGGCATCGACTGCGACGAAGAGAGCGTGTACTCTATCACTCGCGTATACTACTGTGTCCAAAAAGTAAGACCAATTTAAAATTTTTTTTTTAATCTTTATTTATTATTCCAAATCTATTTCGTCGCCTTCAAAGTAATCCCCCTCAGACACAATACACTTATGCCAACGTTTTTTTCCAACCCTGCGGTTGGAAACCGTATTACGTGATGTATATAAACCCACACTGCAGTGATAGATATAAACCCACCATCTCACACTGCATTGGTTCTTCGAGACCATTTTGCTAAAAATTCGACCCATATCGTTCCACAACCACCATATTCACTTGATTTAGCACCGTGTGATTTCTGGCTATTCCCTAAACTCAAAAGACCGCTCCGGGGACACCGTTTTGACTCGATTGAAGAGATACAAGCTGAATCGAAGAAAGCTTTGAAGGCCATTCCGGAAATCGACTTTAACAACTGTTTCGAGGGTTGGAAAAAACGTTGGCATAAGTGTATTGTGTCTGAGGGGGATTACTTTAAAGGCGACGAAATAGATTTGGAATATTAAATAAAGATTTAAAAAAAAAATTTTAAATTGGTCTTACTTTTTGGGCACAGTAGTATTATTCGATCACTATGTAAGTTTTCACAAGCTTTCATTGGTGCATTCTAAGATTAAATACTAATCGACTCGCAAAAGCGTACGTTTCGTACGTCACTAAACTTATAACTTATATATTTTCGTAAAAAATAATCTCTAAAAAATTCTCTCTCGAGTTTCCGGCTGAATGGACCAGCCATTCAACAGTAAAGTAAAACAAACATTCGTCTTACGTCTCGTAAAAACTTGCGCAATCAATGTTATCATCTTCGCTCCTGCCTCATGAGGATTCTCTCAGTATATGCCTCAGCATCTCGTCCTCCTTGAAACACTGGATCAACATGTCCTCGTACCTGAGCAAAAATATGTTTCAGTTGATCTATGCAACTCGCGAAAGAAAGATAATGCTCAATGATCCAATGTAAAGTATCTTTAATTGTTAATCAAAGATTATATATTAGTTTATATAATAGTTAACTTTATTACTTGAGAGGTATTCGAGTACTCTCCTGCGGAACTGTACCCAACAAGCGAACCCTCTTCAGTATGGTGTCGGCTACCACCCTCTCGTACTCCAAGTAGCTTTCGTCCTGAGTGAACCACAACGCTAAGGCGCATCTCCTGCCGCTACGTACAGCTCGAACACCATGAAGATTCTCACCACCGGCGGAGAAGGCTACCATACGTCCGCATCGGGGCTGCACAGTGCCTTGAACCCGACGTTCCTTCCGATCGTCGACGAAGAAGAACTCGCCGCCGTCGAAGTCGTCGTTGAGATACAGAATCGCCGAGTAGTCTCGCCACGTATACGCAGGACTCTCCCGCACGCAGGAGCTCTCGTTCTTTATCAGGCAATTGTCAGCGTGTATCTCGTGGCTCAGGTCGGTCCGATTCGTCGGTGCATCTGCAACCAAACAATCTATGTGATAAGGTGGAATCCTCTTCCCGACATTCTCTCCGTTCTCCAGTGACGTGTACTCGTGCACTTGTGTGATATTATTCGTGTGTCTTTGAGCACAAACAGCTTGCTTTCGTTTAATAAAACGGATTAATTTGCACATGCCATACCAACTGTTACGATGCGAGCATGTCAGCAAAAGTGACCAGAAGCGCGAGGATGCGTCAGGTAAAAATTACCGGGTAATGCCGTTCGGCAGACCAAATGGGTGTAGGTGAAATACAGTTGTTGATCAAGGTCGAAATACCTTTCCACGTGATCGCGAGCCGCTTCCGTGTGTCGTAAGAGCAGTTCCAGTAGCTCTGGTTTCGTCAGACCGAAATACACCATCTGCAACGAGGACAACGTGCTGAGATCAACTTTATCAAAAATTACTCTTAGAAAAGTTTTACACGATATTCTTGTCTCAGCTTATTTAATGAACGACAACTTTGTTACATGCGAATAATTCTTACCAAAGCGGTTCTGCCGACAGTCACGCCTTGGAAACGTTCATAAGGCGAATGCGGGCTCTTGTTCTCGTCGTAGCCATCTCCTTCCACGGTAATCTGAAATTTATGAGTTTGATTGAAATTTGATAAAAATTATGAATTGACAACAATAAGGAGATCATTTTTATGGTAGGATGTTTCCTAAAAAATTAAACTTTACTTGTCCGCTAAAAGAAGGATTCTTTTTGATTCGTTTTAAAGTTCTTTGAACTTTATTGATTTAGCTAGGAAATATTACCTGAGCCAGTTGCGTAAGCAGATCGCACTCGGTCGAATTGAGGAAACCGTCGGCTACGTAGCGATTCCTTCCACCGAGCTCATTTTCCGCTGCTAGCAATCGTACATCTTTCACCGCGATTCGGTCTCGTCGCGTCTCTCTTTCCTCTTCCTTATCTCGAATTACCGATAAATTCCCCAAGTACTGCATCCGAGTGGATGGAGAATGACCCGGAGGAGGATGTAAGATCAATCTTGCGAAAGAGTTCTGAAAGAAAGTCGCAATGAGTACAAAATGCTGAAACGACATTCGTAGCGCCTGCATTCCTACGTAGTTATAAGCGCAGAAGCAAATAGGGTTGCATTTAAACAGATCAAACGAGTATCCCCTTATGAAGACTTGTGTGCGGGAACATTAAATTGAATATCTTTAATTAGTTTAAATTCTATAAAATAATGTCAAATAGTGTGATCCGATATTTCCACAATGAAAGTTCACTTAACAGAATATTTCTGAATGTTTTTTATTGTTCTTTCAATATATATCACAATATATATCCATAAAGAGCAGAGAGTATCTTAGTATTAAAGTTAATGGCAATGTACTCGGCGCAGTCTAGATCATTTACAAACGGTCGGTTTAAGCACGGTATCTGATGGTCACGTTTATGCGTGCGTCATCCTTCGGACAAAAATTCAAAGAACAGCATATAACGAAGAGTCCCTTATTATTCTGTCGACACACGATGAATACATCGCGCGATCGCGTTGATTATGTCTTGCTCTTTACCTTTCCTAATTCTTGCTCCTCCTCCTTTTTCTTCTTCGTTTTCTTCTTGTCAGTCTTCTTCGCGTTCTTCTTGGTGAACGCGTCAAACCTGGCGTCGATCACTGCGAACTCCTCCGATATGTAATGCAACAGCATCAACTCATACTCTTGCCTCTTCACGTAAACAAGTGCCTCCTGAAAACAGCTTTCATTGAATCCACAAGTTTATTAAGATATTTCTAGGATGAACATCATTATAAAAAGGAGAAATTGTCTCGCTTATCATGACTTTTCTTGGACAACATCAATGTTCAGCAACCGAGTAACTTAATTTTTACGTACCTGTCTTGGCATAAAGTATTCATCTGTCACTTTCGGCTGGGTGCTATAATAATCCTTATTATGAAGCATTGTCTCATCCACAGGTAAAAACAATAAATAACTTGCAACCGCTGCGCAGGCTGCTTTTATATTGCCCACTATTCACAAAATAAAGGAAAGGGTTACTTTTAAAGATATCATTTTCAGCGATGAAAATGATATCTTTAAGTGATCCCTAAGCGTATCCCCTATGATACGGTGTCGCTTCCCTAACAGCACAGATATCCAGGAGACGTCCAGAGTACGTCCTGAGAACATCCTAGGGACGTTTCTACGTCCTCAGGACATCTTTGGGACGTCCCCAGGAGATTTTGTGCTGTATGAATTTATAATCCTCTCTTGAAGATATATAGAGTTGAAGATGTTATCAAGTAGAATGTCTCAATCGAATCAATTGAATAAAATTAAACCACTCACACTTGTAATAAGCGAATTGCAAGTAATTGTAATGACTGCTGAGCAAATTGCTCCGATATTCGCCGTTCACGCTGTTCAACCCGAGCGAACATCCACGCTTGCACTTCAGACAGAATGCAAAATGATCTAAAAGAGAAAGAATTATGGAGCTAATGACGAACGACGATATTATACATTGTTGTTGAAAATTATGAATCAGAGCACATCTTACTCGCTATGGACGAAGTAAACTCGGGGTACCACCCTTGGTCGAACGGCCCCTCGCAATAAATCCTGCATTCCTCCTCGGATTCCATGTAAGACGCGAGGGAACTCTCGAATTCGTCCACGGCTTCCTTATAATTCTCATCCTCGTATGCCTGAACTCCACGGATGTACATTTCAACGAAGGGTGCTGCTTCCAGATTCATAATTCTTTCTTCGACCACGTCGGGTAGGGTCAGGTAGTGCTTGAGATGCCTCCTCGTCATTTCGTGATCAGGATGATAAGTCAGGAAGGTGAAGACCGCGTTCGCCGCGTCCTGATATTTTCCTATCTACAACAAATTATGTAGAACTGTAGTTACCATAATATTGATCAATATTCGGACGGAAAACTCGCGCTTTACTTCGCGAATAAATATGTTTTGATGATGCTCAGCTTGCGGCCGCGGAGATAATTTTATCAATTCGGAACAGATTCTTTCTTTCATATTTCGACAGAAACGTCTTCAAGGCTTTCCAAGACTTCTGCAACTTTATCGAGTTATAAGCGATTACGCAAATCCTCCAAAATAGAGCCGCGCTATCTAATAATTATCTAATAAGACGCTATCTAATAATTATCTAATAAGACGATGATGCGTATCGTCATCGCGGGTCAAGCCGCTAGAGTCGTTAAAGCGCGGGCGTAGTGTGCCAGCCACGCCAAAATTGCGTAATCCGCCAGATTAGGATTTGGATAGGAGCATGTATTTTCATGACGATACGAATCTTTCGCAAGCGAATAATCGTCCCTCTCTCTTCGCCTTTTCTTCCCCGCTTCCTTCTCTTCTATTTCTCTTTCTGTGAGAAGAAATACGCGCGGTCTAAATGACGCAAGTTAGAAACCGTGTCGAACATAACTAAATGATTAATTAAATTGAATTAAAATCTTCAAATGCTAATGTAATACTTCAGACAACACGAGATATCCCAAAGTCACCTAGAGTATGCCCAGCACGTCCTAAAGAATATCTTAGAACACTCTGATCTTGCTTTAAATGATGGATACATAAAGATAAGGTTACATTATGTGCAAAGTCTGAATTTCTCAACGTGAATCAATAATTATCTTTTTGATTCATATCGATTTAGATTAGAATTCAAATTTTATGCAATGTTATCGTCTTGTATTTACTATTATGCATAAGGGAGCACATCTAGGAAGATCTCAGGATGTTCTGTGCTACCCGAGATATAATTCATATAGCACAATACATCCAAAATACGTCCTAGAGATTTTCCAGGAATATTACATATTCCTAGACGCCTCTAGGATATATTTTGGACATTTGTGTTGTGTGAGAAAATTGAAGATTTTGCGCGCTTTATCCTCACCGAGATGATCTTAGACGAAAGGAGAGACTGTTGAAATATACGTCCGAGCAGCGCGTTTATTATCATACCTGGAAATAGCAGATGTGAAGATACTCGTAAGCAGCGCGATCAACGAATTTCTTCTCTAAAACGCGTGGGAGTCGCTTGAGCGCCCCCGCGCCCGCGATATCTCGATAATCCTGATTGCATTTCATTAAGCAGAGCGTTTCCCGCACTTTCCTCTCGTAGAAATGTAGATCCTCGATGTCCTCGGCGAAGATTGGCGAGGAGCCCGCCGTCTCCATTTGGCATTTTCGTCGGCATATCGTCACCATACGTTTGTACTTCTTGTATCTGCAAAACGTCGCAGATTTAAAGACACGCTAAACACTGCCCGTTAACAATAATTGAGAGTTAAGTAAGTTCACATCTCGATTGATCGATTTCCCAAAGAAAAATTGTCACGTAAGGTTTAAGTCCCGGCCTAACCGCCGTCACAACAAGACGTGTTCGAATAAATTCGGACCTTGTGATTTTTTTTAGAACGTGCCTTGGAATTTTCCAAGGAACTTTTACTCTCGATATCATACTATAAATCGGAATTGGGACATAACTTTTAGAGAGGCCTGGAACCAAAGATTGAAGTCACGTAAGGTTTGAAACAGACGCGAGATGCGCGCGCACGATCACACGAAAATGACCGGTTTTCTCCGTCGCGACGAGTAGCCGTATGAATTCTCGGAGCGCATCCAATTTACTTCATGACTTATTACGTCATGTCACAAGGCCGGTACTTCGCGTCAAGGCTTAATCACTTCAACGCCACGCTAAACCGGGAGCTGTGAGAGAGTCGCGTGTCATGACCAACGCAACTCGTGACGCAACTCATCTCCGTCGAGTCTTCCTCCGTCGTCGAGATCTTGGATTAGGTATTCTACGTTCTCCTTACAATATATTAATTCTATCCCATCAGACATATTGCCGAGAAATTAACGTATGTCGATTTGATTCGCAAGCGACTTGGGCTCAGCTGCTCCAACCGAATGGTAAACTAACTAACATTTAAGACATGAGTCTACATTTATTTATTTCGAAGGAAGATAGACGTGTGATTTAACGGTTAGTAAACCTTAGATCAGTCGGTTGGTGAAACTGGGCCTTAAAGTTAGCGTCAATCGAGCGCGCTGTAGGATCGATATATCGAGGTCTTGGCGGCGAGGAGAAATGGAAGAAGCGCCGGAAGGATGTTCCAAGGACGACTCCAACATACCTGTGCAGAGCCTCGTTGAAGTCTAAGATGCAGCCGCGCCAGTCCTCGTCGAGGTACGCCTGGACCGCGTTGTCAAAGATCTCGGCGAGCGGGACGTCTTGTTCTTGGCGATTGTCCTGGCTAACTTCATCGTTGTCGTCGTCAATCTCATTGGTCTCGATCACATCGGCGCGGCACGTGCACGCAGCTAGCAGTAGCACGAGCGGAGCGACAACAAGCAGCTTCATCTTCGCGGCGCTTCCGCTTCTTCCTCCTCTTAACGGGCCGTTGTCTGGAGCCGCACTGACGACGATACGCAAGCCACATGGCCGCTAAAGCGCGGATCACTTACGCGTGGGTCGGATGTCGCGCTCACGCATACACGCACGCAGCCGCCGTTGTAGATCACCGTATACAGGGCGACTCACAAGAGGATATAACGTAAGGTGACCAGATTTCCCAGCTCAGAGTCCGGGACACTTCATAAATGTGTCGAGCGAAGAAGGGACAGAAAAAGTCACTGAAAATTATATATATATATATATATATATATATATATATATATATATATATATA